TTTTATTGTTTATCGGGTTTAATATTGTTCTTGAAAATAGTTGATGCTATGTTATGTATAACTTTTCTAATAAAAATTGTGTTATAAGCTGTAAATTTTAGAGTGCTGTATATTTAGTGGTGTGCTCCCCATAAGAACATTAACTTAGAACATTAACAATAGCCAAACAACTTCACCTTTTTGCTAGTAATCACATGACCAGTGGGAATAACTTTTTTCAACAAAATGCTGATCTAGTTTTTTTCCAAACAACATCCATGACTGTTCATGTGGATCTTGTCAGATGGAATACAGAGGAATCACTTGCTCATTCACTGACTTCAGATGAAGAGGAAGACTTTGTGTAGATCTCACTTGAATTTACAGACGATCGGAAGGGTGGATTTAATGCATTAAATATTATTGACTGGAGAGCAGATAGCATTAAGCGAATCATACATAATTTATGCTCGTTTAAAAGGAAATTACCAAATTGGGTGTCAAAAGACACTGAAATTTGCTTTTTTCTTAACATTTTATTTTAATAATTTTAATCAACATTTACAGAGATTTGATTTCCATTCATTCATTGTTGCATTTTTCTCCCTACCCACCCCTCTCCCCAGTTTGCTCTTTGAAAAGTAAAAGAACGATTTTTTCATTGGCATACAGTTCCCCCCCCCCCCCCCGCCGTCCCCCCACTCCACTATGCAGCCTTCATTCTGGACTCTTATCATGACCGTAATGCCCAATCATATATTGCTTTTAAATTGTTCTCCCCCTCATCTGTTTCAATGCAGTATACATAACTTATCCAATTTTTCTCAGTCTCACCCCAACCCTGATATCAGTCCCATTGAACAACAGTGGCACTGTGCAGTATTTTTCCTTTTTTTTTTTTTTTTTCTTTTTTTTAGTATTTGTCTTTTTGAGACTGAGATATTTCACTCAGCATAATGTCCTGCATGATCACCCATTTTGCATATTTCCTGAGTTCCTTGTTTTTCAGTGGAAAGTAGTATTCCATTGTGTGAATATACCACAGCTTCTCTATACATTTGTTTGTTGATGGGCACTTAGATTGTTTCCAACTCGTTGCTATTGTGAACAAAGCAGCAATAAACATGGGTGTGCATATGTCTGCCTGGGTGACAGTGAAACTTGTTTTTGAACCTGCACTAGGTGAAGCAAATGAAGGAAAGAGGATGGTGTCCTGATGACCTATTCTACACAGTCCCTTTACAAAGACCAGAAAAAATGAGTGAAAACTCTTGAAGCAATGAAAATCATTAACAACAACCATCAAATGGAAAAGACATACTGAACAAAAGAGGTCCCTCACACAAGGAAAAATGGTTTCTCACCCTTGGCCACCAGGAAGGCACCGTTGACCGGCTATAATTACTAGTGCTGCCCTGTTGCAGTCACCTTCCCAGTTTCACAGACGAGTGGATACCTGATTTCAAAGTTCCCAGGCAAGGGAGAATCTAATTTCATGGATTCTCTGCTAAGACATCTGGAATGAAAATAAGGTGAGTCAAAGGGCAGCAAAACAGGTGAGCAGTATAAATACTGCAGGAACAGAAAAGGGGCTGCTGGAGAACACCCGTTTGGGTTGGAAGGGCGTAGAGGAACATTGAAATCACTCGTCTGAGCAGTTGGGAAGGTGACTTCACAGGGCGGCAATAATTCTAGCTGGTCTACTGAACCTTCCTGGTGGCCAAGACAGACCCATCCCACCTCCAGGCCCCGCTAACCTTGTGGCTAGGGATGGCTCTCTTGCCACGCCACAGCCACAAAGTTTTCTTGGGACCATGAACTCCAGCAGTATGGTCACCTGTAGAACTGTGCCACAAACAGTGACGTTCACAAAGCCATGGAACTCAGCCCCAGGGCCAGGCTCCCACCTGCACAGACAGATGCGCTGCTTCAGGCTGTATGAAATTCCCAACACACGCAGCCCGGAGCTTGGGCTGCTGCTGCTCTACCACTAATTGGGATGTTTGTTTTGATTTCTATTCTTGACTTTTTTCCTCCCTCTATCAGTTGTTCTCGTTTATCACTTGTTTTTACTTTTTTCTCTCTCTCCCCTTTTTCTGCCTCATCTAATGGGAGACAAATCTTCCCCTACTGATTAGCCGTTCCTGCAATACCTACAACACGCACACACAGCCACTCCTACACGATTGGATCAACAACAGAAGGCCCACACCTGCTTGCCTCTCCCAGAGCCGCTCTTGATGATGAGTAAATAGAAACCTGAACCAAGCACCCCTGCAGTTACTCGGCCCACCTGGAGGCAGGTAGTTGGTACCCCCAGTGTTGCCCCGTGGACAACCAAAACACACCCACCTGCCCACATAGACACAGCAAGACATCAAGGCGATGTGACCAACACCTGGTCAATGAAATATCCAGGAGACAACTTCAAAATAAACAGGGCAAGATAAAACAAGCAAGTGACCTCAAGAATTTACCGCCCCCATTTGTACATGATCCAATACATAGGAAATCCTATAGATAGGGCATGAAAACTGGAATGAATCAAATACTTCAACAAAATGGCACGGTGCAAAATCCTTATACAAAAAATACTTTTTTAAGAGGAGGGAGTAATTGTTTTTCTCTTGAGAGGGGAAACAATACTATTTTATAATGTTAAGTGCTGTCCAGTCATAGACAACTCAGCGACCCTATGAATGAAAGACCTGAATACTTGTATAGCTCATTTGTTCTCTAAGTTCATAGAGTTTCTGCTGGCAAGCTGTTTGGGAAGTGGCTGCCACTCCTGCTTCCAAGCTTGTTTTGATCAGGAAGCTCCACCAGACACTGTCCACCATGGGTAACCATTATCGCATTTTACACATCGGTGTCACAATGTTAGCATCAGAGCAACCACAAGTTATCTCTGTACAGCAAATGGACAGACCAGTGCTGTACCACTTAGAAGAATGTTTGACCAGAAAAACAATTAAAACCAGACCTGAGAGCCGCAGGTTAAAATCACCCACCTTTTGGCTTGGTAGCATTGCTTTCCATCCACTAGGCTAACAGAGCTCTCTTTGTTATTGTTATCGAGTTGTAGATGACTAAAAAATATAATGAAGCTTCAGGAATTAACAATACCAATTGAGGTGTCTGAGCAAGTGATGTTGATAATGTCCATCTTTTCTCTCTGATAACACTGGCTATTGATCCTGTTGTAAGGATGTTTATGTTGAAATGTAATCCGTATAGAAGGCTACAGTCTTTGACCTTTATCAGTAAGTGTGTCAGTCCTTTTTTAGACTGCATTTTAGAGGTTGTTAATGAGCCATTCTGTCCTGTCCAGTAAGTGTTTCAAGTCCTTTTCAATCTTCATATTACAGGCTATTGATAAGTCTTTCTTCTGTTCTTCCTACAGTCTAGCTTAGCATGCAGATTGAATAGGTACAGTAAAAGGACACAACCCTGGCCCACACCTTTCCTGATTTTAAATTATGCCGTATTCCCTTTGTATGTTCAAGTAACTGCCTCCTGGTCTGTGTACAAAAGCCCAGGCAAGCATCTTTCTGGTATGATGGTGGCAGTATCTCTGGAAGTCCTCTTTGATGAACTGTTCCAACCATT